TGTACATGATGATTGATTTGTTTTAATTTATATCAAAATAATTATTGAGTATTCACATGCTTCACTTCTTCTACGCTAGTGGTACATTCAATACTGACTTCTTTTACCTTGCTTTAATCATTTTAAATGACAGGGAGGATAATTTAATATATTGACTTATGTTAGTATGATCGTTCGTATATTTTATAATCATGTTAATAAATTGAATCTGCATGATTCGTCGAGAAACATTTGCTTTAAAGACTTTTATCCTCTGCATGATATACATGTACATTGTAAACGCCCACAGTGTGATAGAATAAACAACAGTTAACATTGCTTGATGATAGTTGTAATTTAAGAAAATGTTTAATTGAATGTGCAGAGTTTATGTTCGCAATTTTCACTGTTATATGTATGTAAAACATTCAGTATAATACACTATATATGCATGTAGTTGAGGTTAACATTTAAAATTTGGATGAAGGATGAAAGAAATTAGAAAAAACTGCTTTTTTATTTTTGGGGGGTGGTACATGTAACAGACCTATGAAAAATTGATGAGTTTTTAGTGTGCGACTTTTTTTTTCTTGAACTCTGTATGGAATACTTCTGATATTTGTTTGAATATACAGTAAAATATTCACTTTATTTTAAGAAAAAGTTCTGCATGGTAGAATGATGAGCTTATGTAAATTAATAAATTAGATAAAATTCTATTCTTATTTTAGGTTAATGAGTTTATATAAGGTTAATGAAACTTAAATAGCATACATTCGCTTTGCAATGCTACATTACTTACAGTATGCGTTAGTTGAGCAAATATGCTGATAGGAATAAGTAATCCTTTTAAACTAGCACTGTATAGGTATATTTTGTTTCTCATTCTTTTCTCAAGGTAATAGCTTTAAGGAAAGACAAGTATTTCTTACCTTGCTGTTTATATCTAGTTAATATGCATTTATTTTAAGTTTATATAGGAATAAGTAACCAGGAAAATTTTAAACAGCCTGCACATTAGTCATATTTAAAATTGAGGAAAGTATCAAATTTCAAGGAAGAAATTCTTTTCTGTCAATGTTTGTTTATCAGATATTGATTAATATTCTTTGTAAGTTAGTATCGCTGTGAGTAAATATACGGTAAATATGCAAAAGTAAGAAAACGATTCCCTTGATATGTAGATTTTTTGTCCATCTTTTGCGCAAGTAATCCAAGCTTTGCAAAAAAAAAAAAAAAAAATAAAATAAATAAATAAAATAAAAATAAATAAAAAAAAAATCACCTTTCAAATTGTATATCTAACAGGAAAAAGCATTTCAATGCATTACTATGAAACCAAAAAAAATACCCTTAACGATTCACAAATTTAATTTCCTCCTCTTCTAATAAATACACATTTAGAAACTTGCCTCACGTCTTTAAAATTTCCTCCCCTTGTTGCTATCTTTTTCTTTTTTATGACACAAGGTGTACACAGAGAAAGAAATGTTTATTCTACCAATACATGTGTATATATAATTATATAAATATTGGAAAATAACATGAATCAGAAGATTGCTGGTTTTAACCTTGGTATGTTTGCTGTAAAAAATTCTGTATGATTGCAGTTTTATGATATTTCTCTTCTACAGACTAAGCAAAACCATATAGTTGAAACAAAAGAATTTTATTTTTATTTTGTATATTTTAACTTAAAAAATTTTTAATGTAATTTTGTTTTGATTCAAAAATTTTAAAACAAGAGCTGTCCAAAAGTTACTTTTGCACGCCTCCTTACTTAAATCTTGTCAAAAATGTTGATACATGTTTCAGATAAATAATAAGCGAGAATTAAATGACTGAAATCTAGGTCCCTTTTTTATCTTACTTACCTTAAACTGACAAGAAATCTACCTTTTTTGTTTGATATTTATGATCTATCTCTTGAAATAAATTCTGCACCATGAAAATATTGAAAAAAGGGTCGGCTAAGCAAAATAAGTGCGCATGGCAATTCTATCATGTAACTGGAAGACATGATCTCCACAGACTATATATATATATAGATATTGTCAATGAGGAAGTCTCCAAGAATCTTTTCAATATCAACTTCACAGCACTTGTACCTAGAATCAGAATCATTTTTAACAAATCACAAGTTATGAGAATCTGTTCCATTTCTATTGAAAACGAATTAACCTATGAAATCAAAAAGCATGTTCTTTATTTTGTCGCTAGGAATAGTTGTTTTAAGAATAGAAAAGATTTACATTCTATGTTTTCATGCGTTTGATCTTTGCACAGATTTGAGATCTCAAATTTTCTAAGTTCATTGGAGTTTTCTAGAATCGATATTTGATAAAATCACATCTTGAATATCTTGTCGCACAATACAAATGAAGTTTCTTCTTTACAATACTTGATTTTTGGTTAGTAGTAAGGGTATTTGTTTGAACAATTACTGGACCCTGCAATATGTATTTAATTGTATGGGATTTTATGAAGGTTTGGAATCCAGTATAGTAAGAGTAAAGGAAACTCAATTCAATTGACTGGAATATTAAAAGTATTTAAAACTGATATGTGATTATGAAGAATTTATCTTAAAATGCAGTTGTATTATTTAGTAAGCTTTACAAACAAAGACTATATTGTTACAAGCTTTGTCAGCTGAAATTGAAACATATTTTTGCATATAGTCTTTGTAATTTTTTATGACCTCCCGTCTTCTAAATACTGAAGGAAAGATATCATATCCTTTATTTTTATGCGATTCTTTAATACTTATCTAAAACGCTTTATTCATTCTGAGAGAGTGTCAAGGTCTTTCCCTTCATATTAAGTCTAGTGTCTAGCATACTCCTTGACGAAATGAAGTTCTGTCTCTTATTGAAAGATCTGGACTCGTTTTACGTCAATGAATAAACACTTTTTAGAAGGTAAATTACAAAAGTTTTAGTTCTTGTGTAAGCATTCAAAAAACTATTTGAACAGAAATGAAATATTCTGCTTATATCGTCAACTACAAAATAAATTCAGACACATGTAACACAATTTTCAATAAAAACTATAAGCCTTCTGTTATCAATGCAATGTAAATTTAAAGACGCAACTATGAAACAAATTCTTTTGACTATTTCTGAAGGAGAAAGATGTGTTTAATATATTTTAGAATATCAAATATTTGTTGTGAACTATCATATTTCTGAACTTCAACGTGACCCATTAAAAAATCACCAAATCGCCTTAGCATAGCATGAATAAAAGAGATGGGATCAGGTGCCATGGAGGAGTGAGCATCCCCTGCAGACTGGTCACACCTGCCATGTGCTCCTCGTCATGATCGGGAAATTACGAGAAAATTCGTAGACAATTCATTGAATTTGTTTGTTTGTTTGAGTGTTGTTTAACGTCCCTCTCGAAAATTTTTCACTCATATGGAAACGCCACCACTTTCCGATGGAGAGCTGCAAATTTTGACCTATACTCGGCACTCAGGGCCATTGACCAGTGAGGGATCTTTTTCGTGCCAACACCTACTACGACACGGAACCTTGGTTTATATGTTCTCATCCCGGTCTCCGCATCCCACAGTGGGATTCGAACCCGTGAGGGGACCAACTCCTTACTCTGCGACTCTAGAGCAGACGCTCTAACCATGCGACGACAAATTCATTGAGTAAATAATGACCTAAAAGTAGTATTAAAAACGTCAGTAAGCATTTGACTTTATGATAGATTGTATTTGCTGACAAGGTCATTGTATCGACTATAGAACTTACGAAATGACTTTAAACGAGACTGTCGATATTCTTGTTTCATAAAATATTTTTGTTAACAAATTACCTAGTTTTAAATACTGTTCATACGTAGAGCATGTTCTTGCGTATCGAATCAACTGAGAGATATACACCTCATATGCAGTTGATAAGGGTATATTTCTGCATAAGTAAGGGAAGTTGACGATTGAAAAGTTGAAGGCATCACGTTTATTATAAAGCTTGGTTGTTAAATTACCATTAACGTCTTTTTCTAGTAAAATATCCAAATATGAAACAGACGTATAAAATTTTCAATAATTTCGGCTTCATATGAATACAAAAATAGGTTTGTTAAAAACGGGGCGCAACTGGTACCCGTGGGAATTCCGACAGATTGTAGAAAATCTGGTTTTAAAAGATACTGTCAATCAGAAACTCAAGCATCTTTTTTAAATATTAACTTCTTGTGAATACAATCAGAATCTTTTTAACAAAATAATATTGCAAATCACGAAGGTACATGTATTATATTTACGAGTTCCACTTTTATTTTTAAAAAAGCAGTTGTCAATGATGTCAAAAAGTCTGATTGAGTTGAAAAGTCGTCAGTTTTGATGTTTCTGATTTTGGTAAAAATTTGTGATTCCAAATTTTCCAAAGGTTTCCTGGAATTTTTAATTATCTACGTCTGATTTACACTTCTTGACTATATTGTCGCACAATACTCCTGAAGTGTTTCCTTCACCGCTGTTTATATTTAAGTGAGGAGTAAGGAAAGAGGCTTGGTAGAAAATTTACTAGAACCGACTATGTATCTTTAGTTGTAAGGACTTTTTTTTTGTAGGATTTTTATGCTTCCAGTAAAGGTATGGTAATTCAAATTCATTTTGGTTGTTGGAAATATTAAAAATAATCAAAAGTGACATATGATTTTGAAGAAAACAAACCCCTCTTAAACTGGTTGGAAGAGTTATACATATAGAAATTAAGAAGGGAAGAAAGCGGCCCCCTCCTTCTTAACACGAAATGTTTTTCATATTTGGGAAACAAGTTTTCGGTTTTCTTGGCTTGTCAATACATTTCTACATTGGATTATTTCTCGAGCTCTGAGTGCGGTGGAACAACCCAGGGAAAAAAACCTGCAATCGAAAATCTCCAAAATAGAAAAAAATTGAAAAGGTAGAACATATTGCATTAGTAACTAATATTTTAACTTTTAATAAAATTAGTCTTGAATATTCTTTTATTACAGTCCTATTTACTTCGAAAAAATCTCAGTTTATTTGTACAAGTCTGTTTATTTTGTAAACGCCATATAAATATGCTAAAAGTCTATTGTAAAATATAATTGGATTCTGTACACGGCATATTATGCTAAAGGGAAGTATATGAGCTAATCTAAGAAACAAAATTCTAAGAATATCACCTAGAGGAGCAAAACATGAAAAATAGAAATTTTCCTTTCATACACTTTCATCTGAACTTGAAGATATACGGCAAGAGTTTTCAAATTCCAAGTTCAACTGCTTCTTTTCAGAAAGGCGAGAAAGAGCTTTATTAAGACGTAAGCAAACTGTTGAATTGAGGACATCTTTGAGACTTTCGTCTCGGACTTCATCTATCCCTCCAGTAACCAGGCCTAGAGCAAAAACAGATTTCTGGTCAGGAGAGCGGTCGTGTTGGAAAACAACTGATCCGCTATCTCCTTTTAAAGAGAAGGGGTAATCACTGGAGTTTAAACTAGAGACTAGGAACATTTCATTTCTATTTCCGAACAGCTTATAATAAAACTCCGAGCTCAATATCCGACCATCAGTAAAGTTAGTTGTTGCCCCCTTTTTATGTACGACAGCATTTGACGGAATGATTCCTTGGTGAATATTTACATTGCATGGATCTTCCATTCTATTCAAAAAGGTCGTATCACAGTTCCTTCGTTTGTCTTCGTCTACTTGGAAAACGGCAAAATCGTGGAAAGGTTCTGGATCGGAATAAATGCATTCACCGACTTGGGCAAGTTGCGTAGTTTCTAGAGACGTAACGTACACAAACTCTTTCTCCCTAGGTAATGCATGATGACACGTCAATCCATACACCTCGTCTTGGCCAAGATTGTCTTTCAGAAGAGCGCCAGCTGTTGCATAGGAAGGTTTTGAATTTTCTCCATTTCTATCTAAATAAACTTTTTCTCCTTGCTTCACGTGGCTGTAAATTTTCACTTCACCTGATACGATATGTAGTGACAAAGTGTTTAAGAATTCAGGTTCAAGTTTGAAAAGTTCATATTTCAGACTTTCAATGTCTGCCTTGTTTCTTACAAATACTCTAAACTCTGATGTATCCCAGATACCAAAGCCATGTACGTCGTATCTCCTAGAATGACAAAAATAGTATATACAATGATCATCCTTCATAATCATTAACTATCCTTAATTTAGGTATGATGTAATAAAATTCGTCAGATTATTATCAATCCGTAAGGTACTTTGACCACGCAGTAGTAAAAAATGGCATAGTAAATATCAAACATACTCAAACAGAAGGTTTTTAATCGTTTCCGGGATTTGCATTTCATTTCTTTTTGATGACATTTGCAATAACAATGATTTGCATTCATTCAGTATCTTTGGTATTTCTTCCCTCGATCCTTCGCCAACGTTCAATTCTTCAAGAAACCCTTCAATGCATTTCTTCAAAGGTGTTTCTAGGAAAGAGGTGAGAGCCTCCCGAACACATTTCTTTTTTCTGGTGAGCATCGAGTATTTTGATTGAAATGTGTCCTCCGATGGCCGTGCAGCTTGATTAAGGACTATATAAGCTTTGGTCCAAACAATTGGCCGAATGGAATCGAGAAGCTACTCAAAAAGAAAATAAAAAATTATTTGTTTGGTTAATACAACTTTGGTAAGAGTATACAAAGAAATCTTATTATACATACCTCCTCTATTCTATCTAAAGGTTCATTCTCACTTTGAAAATAGATAAGTGCTGACACAGGCCATCGTTTTTCACCTTTCAGGGAGCACCTTACATGCTCTTCTAAAATCATTTAAAAGAATAATATCATGTCAATCAGAGAGAGAGAGAGAGAGAGTAAGAGAGAGAGAGAGGGGGGTACCCGTACCCTTCGAGGAAGTAATTAACTTCTCAGTGTCTTTTGTAATTTCCCCGGCTAGGTAAAGCTGAACTCTCTTGACACCTATGGTTTCATTAACTTGAGAAGATGATCTTAAATCTCTCATCTTTGTTGCAAGCCTAGAGACCAGTTGATGGTGGTAAGAAAGACGTGGAAAATTGTTGACCGAATACCACTTTTCACTGTATGGTGATCGATATCCCTCTGAAATTTTATGATCAAAATTAACAATTCTGAATGCCAAATAAGCGCATATACTAATATTTAAGGAAGTAAAAAAAAAATCTTTCAAGATAACTTTTGTTTCTTACCAGATTTAGATCTCTGATATCTGTCGCTTTCCACAGATTTAATGCGTTTCTCAAAAGCATCCGACAGTCTTTTTTCTATCTGTGTCTGAATATGAATTTGACATCATTAAGAATCAATATAGAATTTTTACCCAATCTTTTTAAATTAATATCTGATAAAAGTAAAGTATAATATGACAAATGCAGTAATATACTTTTTATAGACTGTTAGTATACTTTTTCTATTTTGGGAGAGGGAAATGAATGAATTTTGATACATCTATTATGGTGTTTTTTTAAATAATAATGAAACAAAACAACCACTTGCACTATTGGATACTTACTTGTGGTTGGGTTACTGGAGAGACATTATTCCCGGATCCAAATGTAAAGTGATATGTGTAAGAGCAGGTCATTCTATCAGAAAAGATAGTTTTATAATGAGTATCCGAGAAGCAATTTAGCCAGAGATGGACTTTTCGACTTGAATAATTCATTCATATATATCTAGAAACATATAGGTACTGTTTTATTTTGATTAAATACATAGAGGATATTCACTGTTTTGTAGTTGATGTGGAAATATTTAATATTCACACGAGTGCGAGGCAAGAGTGAAAAATGAAAAAAAAATCATCCTGATTCACCTAGAAGATATTGAATTTTGTGTTTATTTCATTATTTTTGCCTGGGTCTTTTTGTACCAAGTTTTCATAGTTGAGCACTGTGACGGATTATCATTTTGATATCCTTTCACACTGTGGCAAGATATCACTTTTATACAATAAATAAATCACAGTATTTCACTGTTGAAAATGTACATCGTATCAATCTATTATATTGTACAATGATTTAGAATTCCTTTTGACATTCTTAGATGGAGAAAGGTGTGTAAAATGAGTCTTAAACGTAAAAGGTGAAGATAATGAACAGTGATCTATCTAAAGAAAAATCTATAAACAAAACAAATAAGTAAAGAGGGCATAAAACACGGACCCCTGGAAATTCTAGAAGGGGGATCAGGTGCCTAGAAGGAGTAAGCATCCCCTGTTGACCGGTCACACCCGCCGTGAGCCCTATGTATTGTTCAGTTAGACGGAACTTTCCGTAGTCAAATTCAGTACAAAAACAAAGGCCTAACAATTGATATTAAATAAATCAGCCAAAATTCTGCCCAATGATAGGTCATATATGCAAACAAGGTCATTATAACGACCAAAGAATTTATGAAATGCCAACTTTACACGAAGTTGTTGAAATCCTTGCAACATCAACTTATCAGTGAGTAGCTTGTTTTTCTTTAAAAATTGATCGTACTCAGAGCAAAATAATATAATTCTCATGGGCGAACTTCGGCCCATCAAAATATCACCCGATCACCATAGGTATTCTAGCTATTTATCATATCAATTTAAATCACTTACCTGGAACAGATATGTTTTGTGTTATTCAGAATTTATAGTTTAAATGAAAATAATGATATTTTTGTTCCAAAGTTAAAGGAAGATCATTTTCACGTTTGATTCACTCATCCACTACATGGGTAAGCTGAATAGAGTAAAACATTATTTATTAGTAGGGAAATGAATAGGGAAGTGGACCAATACTAATCATATGAAATATTGTTTACGGAAGAACTCGCTTAGTTTAGCTGTTCGTGTCATTGCTTCATTTCATCCATTTCCTCCAAATCCTGTTTGATCACATCATGAACTTGTGCATAATTTCACTTTATTTTTTATACAATGTGTAAAAGGTCAAGTGTTTGTATCGTACTGTAATATCTGTGTGATTTTTTGATGAGATAGAACAGCTACAGTAAAAAAAATTGAAAGACATGTTTGTTTGAGCCATGTAATGTAATATAACTGTTTTGTTTAGTTTGAGATAATAAATAATGGAAATAATAGCTGTTTAATGTATAAAGTGTATATGTAATTTAATTTAGTCTATCCTGTATCCAGTGGATTCACTTATTGGTTTCCTATCGTATAAAATTTACGTGTGATTGTTTGTAGGCAAATAATTCCATATGTATGCACGTACACAAGTAGAATATCAATACAGAATTAAAATTCCTAGCATAAATCAAATGATTTGAATGACACTTTTTCCAACTTTATATTTTTTCAGTGTATATTTTAAAAATATCAATTTTTCTGTTCTTTTTGGTGTGTGGGTTGGGGGTAATTGATTGTCAGATATACATTTATGACAATTAAAACTGTTATTGGTTGAAAGTACATAAACCTCACATGTCACAGATAATTTTTCAGCAGAGTACCACTTCTGATTTTAAAAAGTTATAAACATCCACTTTATGAGAGCTAAATCGTAATTAATACTAGACATTTAAAATCAAGTGGAGGGAGTTTTACTTCCTATAAAGTGTATTTTTATTTCTAGGGTATCTTCTCTAGGATTTTCTCTCTCTGTAAAAAGTGTTCATTGGATTGATTGTTGTTTTACGTCCAGTTCGAGACTTTTTCACTCATATAGGAACGTCACCATATGCCGGTGAAGGGTTTCAAATTTAGACCTTTACTTGGCACCCACGACCATTGAGCAGTGAGAGATCTTTATCTGCCAACGCCTGTCGTAACATGAGGCCTCGGTTTTTAAGGTTTTATCCTAAGGACCCGCAAATTTCACTTTAAAATGCCGAGCGCTTAACGAATGAACAGTTGCTACCCATTTTTATCAACTTAGGTCAGTCGTAGCCCACGGTCTCGAACACATGAACCTTTGATCGCGAAGCGAGCACTCTATGGAATGAGCTATGGTGACGCTAAATGTTTCGAAGAGATATCGATATGTCGCAATAAATATTTTTCTGAAATGATCATGAACTGTGAAATGCAATAATATATCAGTAAAAGGTTATATATCTTTCACCTCCGCTAACTACATTAAAAAGAAATCAGTTTTTCATCATTTTTGTCTGTCTGGCCATACATCAGATATTTTATCCTTCTGTCTGTTTTATTGTAAGGTACATTGAAAAATCGCAAACTGATTCCAACCAAAAATAAAAAAATATATATTCTGCTTGGGAAGGAAAAGAAATAATAGTGTGTATGCATAAAAATAAAACTCTTATACAATTTTACTTTACTACACGAGAAGGATGAACCATGATGTAGATTGTTTACAAACATAATTATCTCCTTACAAAAATGTAGATTGGTTGAAGCAAATATAGACCATTGTTGATACGTTCTCTGTGCATATCTTCGTTTTACTGTAAATTATATATGGCTTTATCTGTAACACGCTCGGAGTCATACCAAAAAGAATAATACAATTAAATGTATTTTTGTCATTTTAGAATTGTAATTATTAATTCAAAAGTCAGTAAAATCAACACATAGACTTCTCTAAACTTTATACAACCATTCCTCACGAAAAATTAAAACCTAGGCTTTTTATATCATCGATAACTGCTTCTTTAATAATGGAAGCAAAAAATTTTTGTATCTTTTGATAAGTCTTCAACAAAATTACTTTGTTAAAAATTGATTTGATTTTACACAAAAATACTCTGAAGTTGAAAGGATGTTATCATTAATTTAGTGTTCGGAGACCAGATCTTCCGACAAGCTGTTGAAATTCCTTTGGTCTCTAATTGTGTTCCTTATTAGCTGACCTGATTTTATATATCTATGAAGCAGAATTTATTCTTCTACATGAGGTAGAAAACACTTGCTCTGACCATCAATTCGACATTTAGGTATATCGACAACGTATTATCAATTAACAATAGTTAATGTTGAGTAGATATATCCCAGTGAACCTAAAAGACACTAAAGAGTCTGCCACATCTGTTTCATATTTGGATGTTTTCTGAATATAGACGATAAGGGTCGACAAAGAAAGAAAGTGTATGATAAACGAGATGATTTCAGGTTTTCCATCGTCAACTTTCCTTATTTATGTACCAATATTTCGCTATCACCTGCATATGGTGTTTACTTCTCTAAACTTATTCGATAATCAAAGCAGTCTACTGACTGGTAAGTTGATGTTACAGGGATTTCAACTTCCTCGTTTCACGTCAGCATTTCTAAATTCTATGGACGTTATAATAACCTTGTTAGCGAATATAACATATCATTGGGTCGTATTTTGGCTGACATATTTCAAACCAATTGTAAGAACCCTGTTTTTACACCGAATTCTACTACGGTATGATCTGTCTACCTGATCAATACATAGGACTCCTTTTAGGATCTGATCCCATCTCCTGAATTTTCCGGTGGTTCATGTTTACAGATCTGTACTGTTTATAATTATTTTAAAGATTGATAACCGTTCCTTATCATCGCATATTTTTATTCCATCATATCATGATAGGTGTTAAAAAAATTACTTAATAGATTTCATATGTTATGACATACAAATGAGACACACATAATCAGGGGATCGCTTTAAAAATTGCAGTGATTACTGCTTTTAATTATTTTTTTATGAAACACTGCAGCAACAACATCAACAAAAAAAGTAATAAAAACAAAAGAGAAAAGAAAAAGAAAAAAGTAAAAAGAAAAGAAAGTAAAAAAATACAGTAAAGAAAAATCAGAACAAAGCAAAATTGACTGTATGTATCATCTATTAAGATATTATCCTTTGTTTTCGTATAACATTCAGAATCGCATGTATTATGTGATATAAATATATCCCAATTTGATATAAATCAATTTGTATAATGTTTAACTATATGAGAATTTAAAATTTAACTTTGCAAGGCGTAATTTTTTTTTCATATTTAACGATAACATTATATCATTTGATTTTTTAAAATAAACTGGATTGCTCACCTTTCATGAAATCTTCTGTACTGAGTATCAATTGTTGATGAAGTCTGTACAATTATGCGGCAAACTTACCGCTCATAAGTTTATATTTAATATTTTTATATATTTGACCTTAATTTCAAACTTCATATCTGTATATCATAGATGCGGAGATATTATTGGTACATGTACATGATGACTTCTTCATATAAAGTACTTTTAAAATGGCAAGTGTTTTTTCCTTCTTCTATTATACAAGAGGAAAAAAATGTGTAAAAAGGAAAATAACTATAGATGCTTTATTGAGTCAGTGTACAATGATTTTATACTTAAGCTTGTATACACAAATGAGGTATAATACTCAAATTAAACATTTGCTCATCGAGGTAAATTATGAAACATTTTATCTAGAAAAGTTCGATGTTAGAATTGCATGGTGGGTAATTTACACATTTTCAAAAATGTGATTTAAATAGAAAATATATTTCATATTCTTTAGACTCATCAAATCTAATTTTGATACATACTAGGTCGCGTATGTCGAGATACGTCCACTACAAGAGCAAGAGGGTAAACAAGGGTATCGCAAGTGGGAGCATCCCCTTGCATGTAACATATTTATAAATAGGATCCGGTCCACAATTAAAAGTGAAGGTCAACAGGCTGAAATGAAGCACATGTAGAAAATTTACATGCCTAACTTTTATCGAAAATAACAAAAACAGTTGACATGTTTGTGATACTTTTTGTGTATAGAATAAAAGATAAATGTCTAAAGTTTATAATGATATGCATCAAGATGCATTTCAAGCATAAATATGCATATAAATATGTATTGAAATGAGAGGTAATTTGGTTTGTTTACAATTTTTAAGCCGACAGAGAGTTATTCTCGGGACATGACGTAAGAAGCTTATTAATGACCAGGACCTACGATTTTGAAAACCCCTATTTTTTCGATACGAATATTTAGAATGAGACATGAAGATAACGATCAGTTTTTCATCTCAAATGTCCAATGAAACAATACAAATTTGGAGCAGAGCAAATACTGACCTCAGAATTTAGAGGTGGGATCAGGTGCAATGGAGGAGTGAGCATCCCCTGCAGACCGGTCACATCCGCCGTATGTTCATTCTCATGATCGAGGAAAAAACCCGGAAAAATCCAGTAAAGTGCAGTGTATAAATAATGACCTAACAATTAGTATAAAAAAAAAACGTCAGTCAGTATTTGACTCAATGATAGGTTGTATGTGCTGACAAGGTCATTGTTTCGTCCACAAAACTTGCGAAATGATGACTTCAAACGAGACTGTTGACATCCTTGTTTCATCAACTTGTTTTTTTAATATCTTGCCTCGTTTTAAAAATTGTTCTAAACTGAAAGACATAAACGCCATATTCACGTTATAAGGTTGTATTGCTACATTAGTAAGGGAAGCTGACGATTGAAAAGTTGAAGTCATCACGTTTATTATAAAACTTTGTTGTTAGGTTATCATTAATGTCTTTTTCTAGTAAAATATCTAAATATGAGACAGATGTGTCAGAATTTGTGGTATCTTTTATTTCAAGCTCATTGGGATATATCGAGTCGACATATGAATGAAAGCAACCATTGTTAATTGATAATATGTAGTCGATATATCGAAATGTCGAATTAAAGGCCACGGCAAGTGTTTTCTTCTCATGTAGAAGTTTTTGAATAAATTCTGCTTCATTTGAATACTTAAATAGGTCTGCAAATAACGGGGCGAAATCGGTACCCATGAGGATTCCAACAAATTGTTGGAAGACCTGATCTCCAAAAACTACATACTAGAAGATATTGTCAATCAGAAACTCAAGCGTCTTTTTAATATCAACTTCAAAGTACTTGTGTGTACAATCAGAGTGCTTTCTAACCAAATAATTTTGTAATTGACCAATGACAAGGTAAGTATATTTACGAGTTCCATTTTTAAAAAGCAGCTGTCTATGATGCCAAAAAGCCTGGACTTCATTTTATCGTGAGGAATGGTTGTATAAAGTGTTGAAAAGTCGTACGTTTTGATGCTATTGATTTTAGTAAAATTTTGTGATTTCAAATTTTCCAGAAGTTCTTTGGAGGTTTTAAGTGTCCACATCTGATTTACACCACTTCTCGAATATACTGTTGTACAATACTCCTGAAGTTTCTCCTTCATTACAGTAAATATTTTAGTGAGGATTAAAGAGACTTGGTAGATCATTTACTGGAACCCGCTATGTATCTTTGTTTGTAAGGATTTTTATGAAGTTTAGGAATCCAATAAAGGTATGGTAATTCAAATTCATTTGATTGTTGGGAATATTAAAAATATCTAGATGATTTTGAAGAATTTCCTCCTTGGAAAGGTAAGTATGGGTGTTAGTTGGATTTCCACCCGTAGAATTAATTCCTAACTCCTCTTAAATTCAATTCAAATAATGAGCCTTACAAACAAAGACTATGTTGTTACCAGCTTTGTCAGCTGAGACCAGTACATACAGATCGTGTAATCTATCCAATTCCTTTTTCACTTCTGAATTATTAAAGACAGAAGGACAAATATTTTTCATACAGCCCCTCAATCGCTTAATGCGAGATTTCAACATCCATCTGATGGTTTTCTTTTTCGTGTTTGGCCCATCTCCTCGCGTAATTTTCAAAAGAATTCAAAATATTTATAAAATGATAAAGCCAGTTGAAAAAACGGGTTTCCTAAACAATCAAACACGTCTTCTACACAAACATCCCGATTAAACTAACAGAAATATTTCTGAAATGATTGATGAAATCAACTCATCTGATGTTTTTGCAATGAAATTTCATCCCATAATTCCCTATAGCCCGGCAAGCCCCGTTAGAGTTATTACATATATATAATACAATATAGAAACATCCGCTGGACTGCCATGACATTCCAAAACTGTTAAGCGTTACGATTAATGTAACTAAATATAGAAAATTTCAACAAAAATGTGCCTTCGATACTAAATTTTACTCCAAGGACATTCCATTAGGAAGATTTTTGTAGCCTGTTTGGAGCTTTATCACCTGGTGAATTAACTTAATTGACGTAACAAAATTAGATTACAGAAAGCAATCTTACAGAAAAATTTATTTTGTTTAAGAACTTAGTTGGAGTAAACTACGTTATTGAATTATGTTATTTTCATATCATTAAGTCCCCCATCCTCTGTGTTGGGTATGTCTTTAACCTATCAAAATAATTTTTTATATACGAAATTAAAAAAAAAAAAACCCACATCGAAATCAGTCCCATCTAAAAGACGCCCCCCTTTCCGGCTTGTGTGAACTATGGATTTGGATGTTAAAGATCAAATAAGTATCATATGCAAAATAATGCATATATAAATAAACACTGGTAATGGTAGTCCATATTGTATTTGTTTGAAACTGAATAAAACTATTTTGTGTCAATTTCCGAGGGTTGAGAAAAATTGCGTCTTTAAAGGCAAATTAATCTGATTCCACCATAGTAGATATATATTTAAAGAATACGTAATTTTACCTTCTGAAGTCAATTTCGAATATCATCTGCTTATTCAAGTCCTAGAGAGCAAATGCAGCAAAAATGCAGCTTTGCAGACAGCAGAATATTTTCATCAGATTTATGAGATGTTTACAACAATCTTTCATAAGAAAAGTTTATGTTCTTTACTAAGCGATCTTCATTTCGTTGTGATACAAGACATATCAGAATAAAACGAATACATACAATATATTACATTGTATGAAATAGTTTATAACAGTTTGAAAGTGAGCATACTAAATAATAAAGAGAAAGTACGAAGAGTATGTTATTTCAAATACATCTTAAGAACTGCAAATATTCAGTACTCCTAAGGAAGGCTTAACGCAAAATTTGAGATAAAAATGTTCCTTTAATTGTGTGCGCTAAAAAAATTATGTCTTTAATTTTATTTTAATTTGAAATTTCTAGTACAAATAACTTATGCTCGAATGGGCATGATTAAAAAGTATTGAACTGTGAAATTAACTATTTTCAATGATATTTAATGACAAATTTCACAAAATCTATTTTTCTTAAGGTCAATTGTAAAGGTCCATGTACCAGTTTCAACATTAGACAGTTCGAAAGCAGAGAGCCTAATTCGTGCAATTTGTATTCTGTACAAACACATATAATTAATAGATTAACATAAGTAATAGTGTACATAAAAAGTATCAATAAAGTGTTGGTATAACGTACTTCCGGCTTTGGATATTAGAAGGCATAAGATTGTTTTGTCAAAATCTTCACCTTGTAGCCAAGTTTACAAATTAGTCGGAATCGCTGGAACTTTGTTCTTTAGGTACAAATTCCAATTTTAAGCGATTTTGAATGGACAAGTTACTCAAAGCATTATCTAAAGGAAAACACATTGTAGATTTCTCTATCTCGGGCTGGTGGTCTTCATAATTACTTTCCATTCCACCGAGGACCATACCCAGTACTGACACAGTTGATTGGTCAAATGATTTATCACGCGTGAAAACGACAGAACCACTGTCCCCGGTGCATGCAAAAAAATCTTTATCAAATCCATCGACAAGGAAAACCTCATTTTCATCAGGAACTAGATGGGAATAGCACTCCCGACTCTGAATCCGCCCTGTTGTCCATCCGGTCGTTGCTCCTTTCTTATGAACAACTAAATTATCTGAGACGTTTCCCTGATGAACTACAGCATTACATTCTTCGTCATCGTCATTATGGAAAGTCTTTATGCATTGATCTTTCAGATAATCGTTTACTTTAAACACAGCAAAGTCCTCCAAATTCTTCTCAGAGGTATACACAGATTGACCAATTTCAGATGGTGGTTTATTTTTGAGTATTTTCATGAACACCTTTTCATTTTCCTGTGGAATCACGTGGCGACATGTTATACCATATAGGTCTTTGCTGGTTTTCTCTTCCAGAAAAGATCCTAATGTTCCGTAATTTTCTTCCATGTCTTTGCTATTGGCAGAAGCGGATTCACGTTTCTGGTTTGTTTCCAAGTCACATATTTCATGTCCTGGATAAAGTTTATCCCCTTGTCCTACATAAAGACTGACTTTCACATTTCCTTCTAGGATTTCAAGCATATGCGACTGCAGGAAATTTCTTTCAGTATCAAGTGCTTTTAGTTCTTGTTCAAGATCGTATTTACATTTTGTATTCTTCACAGTGATTCGCAATGTTTTCCCTTCCCACAGCGCAAAGCCTAAGACTGATGGATTTCTAAAAAAAAAAAATTCAAATAAAGGAATTTATCAAATGTTCATCCTTTAGTCCAGTTGATATTATTGAATATTTTGATATTTTTTCCATATCCTACATTATGTATTTCAATAATCTGTAATATAACAGAACAAATACGTTGTGTGTTGTAGTAAACATGGAAGAACGAGGTTAAATTCCAAATAACTAGTCTATAAAATCATTGACTTATAAAAAGAGACTTCTTTTTGAATTTGGTAACACGCTATTTAATATGGTAATAATTCAGCATAATATTGTTGACGTTGCAATGCAGATTATAAAGCAGCCGAAAAGAAAGCATAAGGGGTTACAACCCAAAAGAATTTTAAAAAAGTATGTGATAAAAAAGATTTTCTCATGATCTGTAAATGAATATTTAGCTCGTTTTTGTATTCCTTCCAATCGCCATAAGCCCGAGGAAAGAAAAAATCCCAACTCGTTAGATATACATCATATTTCAATCCATGGGTGATCCTATGTTATCTTACATGTATAAATTATTGTATATTTCAAAGCGTATTAAGTTAACAAGAGGCCTAAGGGCCTTAACGGTCACCTGAGTATAATACAACAATTTAGAGGATCCATAGAGTATAAAATGAACTGAAAGGTGAAGCTTTGTTGCCCAAAAGCAAGAAAAATAGGGTGATCAGGATCAAAAAAATAATTAATCTAGTATTCATTGACAGTTTATACATTATGTTCTAATCTGTTCCCCATTTATCACTATCACCATACGGTATATTAAAAAACCAATCAGTGCCTCTGTACTATTTTAATTTCTTGAGATCTCTTACATTGGCCCCCCTTGGTCTTTGATGAACATTTAATAAGACAAGTTATTTTTGTTCCATTTTTATTTATCTATTACTTACAAGTCTACCTGATCATTAAAACTAGGAAAATACTTTTTGTATTATCCAATAAAAATTTTTGCATAATTCTCTTATTCTATTAACCTTTCAAGTACATTGTTTACAGTGATTAATTATCAAAAGTAAACAGCGAAGGGGAATAACTCCTCTCAGTAGAATACAAATTAATAGAGCCCTGGCCAGGACCTGAACACTTGACCAAAATGATGTTCAAAAATCTGGTAAAAATACCCTTCCTTATTAAAACTTTTAATCTTTTTGCCTCTGATATACCCAAGTGCAGAGAATATTTTAAAAGAAATAATGCATTTTTACTACAGATTTACTATATTATTAATAGAGCCCCCCCCCCCCTCCCCACTTAGAAACACTAGAGTCTCTCACCCTGGGACCAGAAGTTTGCTCATCATAAGTAATCACTTTGTTTATATGCTTAACACTAAGGAGCAGACAGGATTATTTAATAGAATTAATGCATTTTCATTATATCATCAAGAGCCCCACCCTTCCACCAGCACATCTGACCCGGGGTCATGCAATTCACTACTCTGAAAGAAGCACTCTTGCTCATCATAACTAAATACTTAGCTTATTGCTTTTTATTTTTTTTTAACCAGAAGCAGAAAAGAATATTTTCAAAGAAATTTTGCTTTTTCACTATATAATCAATAGAGCCCCCCCCCCCCCCCCCAACCTTTTCACTAGAACCCCTGACCCTGGGGCCATGAATTTCACAATTTTGGTAGAGTCACCCTTGCTTATCAAAACTGTGTATTCAATTTGTTTCAATAATACCCAGGAGTAGAGTAGAAGATTTTCAAAGAAATAATGCACTTTCACTATATGATCTATATAGCCCCGCCCTAGCACCAGAACCCCTGACCCTGGGGCCATGAATTTCACAATTTTGGAAGAGGCATCATTGCTTATCATAACAATGTACTTAGTATTTTTCAAAAATACCCAGGAGTAGAGAAGAAGATTTTCAAAGAAATAATGCATTTTCACTATATGATCTATATAGCCCCACCCTAGCACCAGAACCCCTGACCCTGGGGCCATGAATTTTACAATTTTGGTAGAGGGCTCAATGCTTATTACAATCATGCCAACAGTTTGACTGCTTGATGTCCAGGAGTAAAGAAGAAGATTTTTTAAGATTGTATTAATTTTGGTGGTTTTAGCCCCACCCCTCAGGCCCCAGGGGGGCAGGGACCATGATATTCACAAATTTTGTTCCCCTTCACACATAGATGCCATATGCTTAAATTGGCTGAAATTGGTTCAGCGGTTTCAGAGAAGAAGCTGAAAATGTTCAAATGTTAACACACGACGGACGACGCACGACGGACGACTGACGACGCACGACGACGGACGAAAACAGATAGCAATAGGTCACCTGAGTGACTCAGGTGACCTAAAAATATCTAAGTATTTAATTAACTTACTAACACATACCCGAATAGATAATCCTTAATTTTCTTTGGTATTCTCCTGACTGGTTTGCCAGGAGTTGTTTCTGACAAAAGAGTTTGTAAAGACAAAATTTCTTCCTGTAATCTACATCTGTAAGACTCTTCAACAACATATTTAAGCACTGTCTTTTTTACTTTTAGATACTGAGATACTGGTGCTTCAAGACATCTGGATATGGCTTCTCTTATAGATTTTTTGTTGCAGTCTACTACTGTGAAGGTGTTTTGTGCAACGGATTGAGATCCATATTTAGTCTCTGGACTCAGAACAATAATCTCACTACTCCACTTATTATTCTGATATCTTCTTATTTCCTGAAATAAATAATATGAATTAAAAAAAGTCTCTCATACATACATCTAGGATGGCATACTGTGACTATATTTTATGAGGATCCTCAGATATTAAACACGTCCTCAAATCAGCAAGAATCTGGTTGGGGGTCTGAAAACTCGCCCCAGGACAACTTTCTTGCCTCGAATTCTCTTTCCTTTAGAAATCTTAGCAGTGCATAGACTGTTGGCGTTTTCTCTTAAGACCGCGGAAAATTAACTGGCAAGATTGGAAATATGCAACTTACGTCATTTCCATCTGTTACAGTCAAAACATTTAATGATTGACAATGAAATTGGCGGGTACAAATCGACACGGACGTCCGAGAAAAAACTGGATTGAAATTCTAGTTCGAAGTTCATTTTCAGTCCACCTGAGCTGTTTTCAAACGCAATGTGTGAATGTATGACCCAAAAGACAAGTTATTTTGATTCCCAAATAATGTTCTTTGAAATTCATATTTATATGACACGTACATGTAATAGTCATAAAAGACAGAGACTATTTTTTCGGGGGACGGTCATTGGATTCAAGAAAAGGGGGAGGGGCTGTCAAAAATTGTCGAGTGAGACCATGCCTTCACATGACAGAATATATTATTTCTAGGATGACAAGAGCTTTATTTTTGTCTTCGCTGAAAAATGTTTGACAAATAAAAACAGGGAGAGGTTGTCCAAACTAAAAAAAACATTGATTGGTTAAATCTGCAATGGTTTTATTGGACAATTCTAGAAGCATTCCAATCCACTATGATTATTTTATTTCATTACACTTGTGTCGTTCCGAGTCATAATGAATTTAAATTTTACAGTTTCATTGATGGAAGTTTTTTAGTACAAGTTGTAAGATTTTGGCCACTAGAACAAATCAACGTTGGAAATGGGTTTTATGTCGCAGGGAGTATCCTTCTAAGCTTTGAGGGGTCTTAAACACAGGACGGGGTCAGTTAGCTATCTTGAAATTTGTAGTTCCTTCACATAGATTGGGATTAAATGTAATTAAAATTATTTTACCTTCATCTTGAAGTTTACTTCAAACCATTATTGGGATAAGGTAGAGAATCTATAGACCTATTTTTTCCCGCTATCAGAGTTGGCCTATAGTGCTTCTATTAAGGGTGTCAAGGAAGGGTGACATATTTTCTATGAATAAAGGTGATTATCTTTAAATTAACAAATTCAAAAACGTTTGGTTTGGCATACTGCTTTAAGGGAAAAATTATTAATTTTTAGCGTTTAAGTTCATTTTAAAATCAAAGGATTTTTGTGTAAAGTAGACTTTAGTGTTAACTCCATTTTGTTTTCAAAAGAAAACGATATGTATGGAATTGGTAACTGAAATTTATGCGTTAATGCGTGAAAGAGCTCTGCAGATGTGTTATCTACTGTGATCAGACATCCAAACAGTAGATCTACTTATAGTTAAGTGTGGTATATAAATCAAATCGTCTAATTTTGAGCCATATAAAAAAAAACCCCAAGCATTACATACCTTTTTGATAAGTTCGAGATTTTCTTTTTGTCCTTGAAAATAAACCAGAACAGAAACAGGCCATATAGATGTCAGGTCGTCCTGACATTCATTCACTTCTGAAATATTACAATGGCTTTTATACATTGCACTTTAATAATGATATATAAAGAAAACTCCAGGCGAAAAGAAATCGTACTTTCCATAGCTTTTTATATTAAGGTACTTACCGATTTCGGGAGGCAAAAGTCTTTCATTTTCTTCAGAAATATTTGATGGTATGTACAGAATTATCTCCATTGATTTACTGGGCGACCATTCAAATGATAATTTGCATCTAGTTTCGATGTCTTTCAGTTTACTTTCGAAGAGATTGATCATTTTATGAATATATTTGATTCGAGGAAAATTCTCCAGGCTACATTTCAACCGTTTTGTTGAAAATCCTGAATGTGCTTCTTTGTCTACACGAGAAAAGAAAAAAAAGGAACATTTCATAAAGCTGCAATACATGTATCAATGAATTCTATTATCAAATTTAAAAAAAAATAAGATACTGTGTTATTGAATATAGGATGTTTAACCACAGCTTATTCAACTATAGCATAATCAACCAAAGCATATTCAACAATACCATATTCAACTATAGCATAATAAATAGAGCATATTTTTGCGATTTTTTTTTTTGATTTTTTTTTTTTTTACGAAAATTGCTTTGCGGTTGGGTGAGGAAATAGCATATGATTTTTAAATTTTGTGAAGAAAAGCATTTTGTTGAGAAAGGATTAAAACATAATAACGCCTTGATTTTTGGGGGTCGCTGATGCACGATATGGAAAATTCTAAAGCATTTCTTTACAGTAGCGATTATAACTTATTTTAGCTATCAATATTTTAGTTAAAAAACCATTGAAATCTGTAAATTTTTTTGCCCAAATCAGCAAGATCTAAGCATAATATGCTATAAATTGAGCAATTCTTTTTCATTGAAATGTATCTAAAATAAGACTTACCTGATCTAGACAAAGACTGCTTGGAACTAGGTTGTGTGTCCAAATCAATGACTTTTGACTATAAGAATACACGTACACAGAATTTTTAAACAAGGGGAATTTTAAGAAAAATAACATCTGTGAGAGAGAGAGAGAGAGAGAGAGAGAGAGAGAGAGAGAGAGATTATTTACCATGCAATGAGTAAAACTTCTTGTTACTTCAGAAGTTTCCATTTCTGTAGAAAAAAATTAAACAATATACTATGTTTATATTTTTTTTTAAATTTCATTGTTATTTTTCTTTTTCAATTACTTATTTATAAGCAATCTAAAAATTGCATGTTTTTATATGTATGCACCCTTGAAACCTTTGCTTATTATAATGCCTGACAGACTCAATAATAATAATTAGTGAGAACTGAAAGCAACAACAAATTACAGATTGTCTGAAAAAAGTATAGAAGTAGGAGTTTCCTTTCTTTTCTCATTAAGGACATTGTACGAACAATATAAGAGAACTTGAAAGTGCTGAGTGTATTAAAAGCACAAATTTAACATTTTTTTAAATCCCATCTTTCTTTAAGGATCTCGAATTTTCTTCAGCAATTTACGACACATGAGTAGCTTTCTATCAATTCAAAGATCCTGAAATGTTGAAATTGTGAATTGGTGAACTTTTTTAAACCTCTTAAAAATTCATTTTCTTTTCAAATGAAAGGTCATGTCCCTTCAAAAAGGGGGGGATAATCAAGAAAAGGCAAAAGGGGCTAGGTCTTTAAATAATTTTCATCTCAAGAAACATGGGCAAGAAAGTGTGAAACTTGTCTTGGGTTGAAGGTTCCTGAGATAATATAGGCCTTAAATTGTTAAAATAATTTTCCGGTAGTAAGTTTGGGTCACAACAGTAAATCTTATTTTACATTGGAATATGTAGAAAAAATCTTCTAAAATATTTTCTCAAGAACCACTGGACCAGAAAAAATGAAACTCATTTTTTAACATATGAGATTCTGGTCATAATGTTCAATCTTGATTGTGAAAATAATGCTCCCGGAGGTAGGTTCGGTATAAAAAAAAAAGTGGGGCATTTTTTTTTTTACATTTGATTATGAGAAAAATCTTCTAAAATTTTCTTTAAAAAACACAGATCCTTTTTTTTTCATACGAAACTTTCTGTCATAATATAAATTCTAAATTGTTCAAATCATGGCATCTAGAAGTAGGGTGGCGCCACAGTTTCGAATCAAAGTTTTATTTACCTTGGAACATTTAGGAAAGAAATCACTTACAGTCTTCTCTCAAGAACAGTTTTTAGAAATACAAATCAATACTTAAACTATTGTGTCAATTACTATGTAACTCGAAATGCGTTTTAATAGATTTACTTAACATACATAACATATCTTGTCTAAGCCATCTTTCATTCATGTTTACTATGCTAAATAGCTTCGTAATAACTTTATGATATTTTATTACTTATAAGTTACATTCATTCTTACTTACATGAACATCAATTAGAGGAAAAGATATGAATGTATGTCCCCAAATAGTGCATCAATTTAACAAAGTGTTTAAACCATCCGATAGAAGTAAACAATTTAATATACAGCGCGCAGCTTCAAAGCCATATGTTGCATAAATCAACAGCCTAAATTGATCTACCTTTTTTGACAAACGCGTGTCATTATTTATTTCATGTATTGAATGTCAATTGTATAAGGTAGCAAGAACGCATATACACATATACAATTTCATGTTTTTGAAAGCAAGAATTTGTTCCTCGGACCTTTCTGTAATCTAAACCACAGTAATTTGAAGTGAAACTACTAATTTGATATACCAGCTGAATTAATAATTTGAAAAACATACTATGGAGATCTACTTTTTCAAAAATGTGTCCGTTTCTAACAGCTTTTATTTCATATTGGCTTCTCTGAATATGATATAAATACATCATATGTTTCAAAATCTTCCCTTCTTACCTCCGGACATTTAGCAGACAACGCTTGTCGTGATTATATGCAATGCTTCCAAACTTTAAATATTTCACGAATGTGTTAGGTTGGACTTACTACATGTATAATATAAATAAACACTTTGTGGTTTGAAAACATTTCCTTCTAGTTTTTGCATGATTATATACGTGTTTTTATGGCTTCTGTGAGCAGAGTTTGATTCCATGCAGGGAAGAACATATGGAATGAAATCGTTCTTTTTTATCATCTAAGTAATCCTGTAGATACATGAGGTAAACTGTTTCATTTTGAAGAAAAATCTTCTTTCAAAATTATAAAAATTATTATCCCGATGTAGGAATGATACATTAGCCCTGTACAATCACACCAACTCCCTGAAAATTAAGTTCGCAATAACAACATTCAGATGACACATTGGGAAATGTATAAAGTGGATTTGTCTCTGGTAGCAAAGTTTTTTTTAAAAGCTTGATTGAATTATAACTGTAAAATGTATTTTTTTGAAACTTGTGAATAAATAAATTCAAGTAGATATGAAATAGATATCAGGTACAGAAAATTTGAAAATGCATTCAATGAACTCTTCTGCAATAATTTTGTGCTCGTGACCAATATATAAATTCACAACACCATAACATATCAGCCTATGTTTTCATCTGTTCGTAAGTATTTTGTTGTGATTATGTATTTTGTTTATAATGTCTTATGGAATTAAAAACGAGATGTGTTTGTGAAACACTGATACTCCCGTATGGCAGTAAGTTTAAACTCTTTTTTAGCTCACCTGAGCGGAAGGCTCAAGTGAGTTTTTCTGATCAGAGAGTGTCCGTCTGTCGTCTGACTTGAGTCATCTGTCGTCTGTAAATTTTGCACATTTTCGACTTCTCCTCAAGAACCACTAGACCAATTTCAACCAAACTTGCCACAAAGCATCCTTGGAAAAAGGGGATTAAAGTTTGTTCACAGGAAGTGTCCCGCCCTCTTTCAAAGGGAGATAATTAAGAATTCGTGAAAATTTGGTGGCATTTTTTAAAAATTTTCTTCAAGAACCACTGGGCAAGAGAAGTTCAAACTTATATGAAAGCTTCATTACATAATCTAAATTCAAGTTTTTTCATATCATAATCCCCGAGCAAAGGGCGGGGCCACAAGAGGAGGTCAAAGTTTTACAACATAGGAATACACAGGAAATGTCTATAAAAATCTTCTCGAGAACAGCAAAGCCATGATTAGTTATATTATAACAGAAGTAACCTAAGACAGTGTAGATTTAAGTTTGTTCCAATCAAAACCCTCGGGAGTAGTACAGGGCCACAACGGGGGGGTGGGGGGGGGGCATTGACGCGGTTAATATAAGTAATATTGTTAATCACAAAAGGGTCCAGTCTTGTATTCCACCATATTTCAAGTTAAAGACTACAACTTGTATTTCCTACAAATATACATCGACAATTGCTTCCAAACTTTTTAATTACAAGAAAACTTTACAGGGCCTGGATATCGAATATCTGAAACATAATCCTCCATCGTGTTCATGTTCTTCTTCGCCCTATAACTATAGTCCTGCTGGACACGTTATTACTGGTGACGTAAATATAGTTAATAATGAGGACCTTAGATCACTAATTTTAAAAGGTTCTAAATATAGGGAACCCCGATCCTTCAACTGGCGTCGGAATTTCATAAATATTATGGATTCTGTGGAGGACTACGCCAGGCGATGGGCCAGACATGAAAAAGAAGACCTTGACACTTTGTCAGAATGGATTAAATGTATCAGATTTATGTATTCAATAATCCAGAAGTGAAGAAAGAATTAGATAGATTACATGATCAGTAAGTACTGGTCCCTGTTGACAAGCAGGTAACAACATTGTCTTTGTTTGTAAGGCTCATTATATTAAATGTATTTTAGAGGAACTTGGATCTAATTCTACAAGTGGTAATCCAACTTATACTCATAGTTCCCTTTCTAAGGAAGAAATTCTTCAAAATCATATGTCAGTTTTGAATATTTTTAATATTCCAAACAACCAAAATGAATTTGAATTACCATATTTATATTGGATTCCGAAACTTCATAAAAATCCTTACAAACAAAGATATATAGCGGGTTCCAGAAATGTTCAACCAAGGCTCTATCTTTACTTCTCACTAAGATATTAACAGTAGTGAAGGAGAAACTTCAAGAGCACTGTGCAACAATATATTCGAGAAGTGGTGTAAATCAGATGTGGATACTTAAAAATTCCAAGGAACTTTTGGAAAATTTGAAATCACAAGATTTTACCAAAATCAACATCTTAAAAACTTACGACTTTTCAACTTTATA